AAAACTARGACCCTTGTYAATACAYATCAATTATTTAGAMAACAAAGAGTTTAAAACCAGTCTAGAATATTTCCAAATGTATTCACTGTTACAGAAGACAAATACTAGTAGGTGAGGAGAGAATGGAAGAATTACATCCAGATCAGAGTGATTTTGTTGCTTCCACAAACTTATAAATTAAAATTGTATCTGGAAAGCATAAAGTGCCATTTTGTAATATTGCAGGAAGTYCTCAGATGAATGAATCAGCTTCTCATGTAATTAATCAAATTAAATCTTCACTGGGAGTAGGCAACAATGAATTATTTAGCTAGAYATAAATAGCAGCTTTATGAGTTTYGTTTGATTCTTACTCTGTGTTGCAYGTTMAAAGGTGTACATTAATGATTCTTACAATCTGATTTTGTTTATACAGTCAGACAATAGCTAGAAAATTAAAGTGCATTTTGCTTTTTATTGAAAACTGTTAGGGAAGTGAAGGGAAAACAGCAACAATGATTGCTGATCAGTTGCTAATAAAACAGCACTGGAACAGGTTAAGTTTCACATATCTGGGTGTTTTGCAATGATTTAATGCAGTCAGGGTTTTACAGAGAGAGGAGCCAGGACTGAATAAATTGACTCTTTTGTCCACCCGACAAGGCTACYTGTTAYACATAYRTGTATGTATAACTTACATAAGTGTATACATTATATACTTAAAAAGTATCCTCACTTTGTAGTATRTGTAGGTGACATAAAATACCAATTCTGTGAAAGCACCACTAAATTCATTCCATGTGATCAAAGCAATGAATATTAGCTATACCAGTTCTAGCAAAATACAGAGGGAAATAGTATTTCAGATTTTATTTCAAGTAACTTTTCAGCAATCAAACGCTGGCATGATTTGTCTTTACCAACATGTTCTAATTTTGTAGTTACTCCTGCTTTGAGAAGGGTTGTCGGCCTAGATGTCAGAGGYCCCTTCCAATGAAAATTATACACTGATTCTGCTTACAAGTCATCATCTGCACTACCATTACACAAAAACATAATTGCCCACAAATATGTAAACCACCTGTTCCATTTCTCTTATTTTTATTAGAATTAATGCATCTTTAATTATAATCTTGTTTGTTACAAGCATCTTCACATTCCATATGTACTCAATAACAGGTGTTTTGATTCAGGCGCMATTAGGCAATGACTCACTGTGTGTTGTCTGATGACGTTTAAAATGAGGGAATACTTCTTGAAGATTGTTGGAATYGGAAATACGTTTGTTGAGCTCTTTCCCTTCCAGTTTAGACCAGTCCATTGTGCCAAGTGAGGGTGCAACTTAAAGCACTAGATAGCAAGGTGGAAAACAGTATTCAAAGAGATAATTCCCTTTTTATTGTAGCTATTTTGACATATCCTAGCAATTATTTTTAATGTTTTGTTAAGATTCTTTATTTGTAGTCATAATAACRTGAAGCTGGCATTCAGGTTTAATTTATTATATCTCATTTATCTACAACCAACTTTGCCTCAGTAGGAGAGCCTCTTCTGCCTATAGAACTACTGCCTTTAAAATCTCACATGGACAATGTATCTTATTGTATCTGTGTCTAGTAACTACATCAGCAGGATGTTTAAATAGGAAGTTAATCTAAATAGCAAGTTATCTCGCTTTATAATTTAACTGTGTTTTATTCTCTACCTGGCATCTGGTACCTGGATCCATCAAAAGATTTGGGTGCTCAATAGAGTTCAGGTTTCAGCCTGTGAAGTGGAATCCATATGCTTGAGTCAGGTGCTTATGTTCCTTATCCTATACATGAGAGAAAAATGCAAAAGTAAATGTTTAAACTGTTTGATAGCCGTCATTAGTAATCAACAGAATGCTGATTGCACAGTCCAGTTGGCCAATGTCGTGCTTCAAGAACTGTAGCACTGGAGGTTAAGTAAGACCTCAGGAGGTGAGCACAGGCAACATCAACAAGGGGTCACATCCTAACAGTATTATTGAAAATGGCAGTGCTTGCACACTCCTGCCTGCCTGTGAGAAAAAATGACCTGGCAYTATCTTTAATGATGGAGCTACAATGATTAGTCAAACCCTACCAAAGCCACGAGCCATGYTTTCCTATAGGAAAATTCTGAGGARTTCATAGGAGGAAYGGGCAAAGACTAAACCTGYTGTTCACCCTGATTTCCTGTAGTGATGTGCATATGTGCAAAACTTCCTGAAAGTTTGCAAATCTTGTAACCAGGAAAAGCCTTTGTAAAAATCTTGCTATTTTTTTCTCTTCAGGCTTGTCTGTTTCCTGTTTGTTTGTTTGKTTGGTTTTCCAGTGGTGCTGGCATCGCCACTCACCCTCATGAGACTGGTTTCAGCAGACCTGTAACAGCATTTAGGGAGTTCCTTGCAGAAACACACAGAAGCCTTTAGTAACATGCAGTACTTGCAGGTTGGATACCTCTGGCAGGTCTYCTGCCATTCCAGGTCAGTTCTGTGCAGGTCTCCTGCCATTCCAGGTCAGTTCTGTGCAGGTYTCCTGCCATTCCAGGTCTGCAACACAATCATTTCCACACCACCCACACTAGTTAAAACTGTTGTGAGTGCACAGACAATATTTCTGGAGGAACTTCTGCCCTTCCACCATCATGCACAATATGCACAAGGTGAGTGTAGTTGCCTATATTCAAGAGTGTAAGGGAACTAATTCCTTCAGAGTATAAAGCTCTTGGAATGTCACTTGTGCTCTATGCCTTTTTCCATGTGCTTTGGGGCAGACCATACCAAACATTAAGTTTACTCCAGGTTTACAGCAGTTTACTTGCTTTTTTAATCAATGTGTCACAAAAAAACTTCAGAGAGAAGGCAATGAAAGTTTCCTTGTGTATGGGCCAAATCACAGAAGTGCCACAACCTAAATTTTTGCTTATAGAGCACTAACAAAAGAGATAATTTATTTATTAGGGCTCATGTTTGGAATATTATGTTTTACCAAAAAGTGGTCATGATAACAATCTTACTTAAACTGGAAAAAACGAAAATGAGCCTTTCAGATTTGTCCAGCCCTTCAGATGACTGAAAAAATACTAGAATTCTGCAAGTCATATTGGGATCAGCAACACACAAACTTATTTAAACGCCAGTCTTTGGGTAAACCCCACCAAAAGTCCATAATAACTGCAGTCAGTTCCCGAATTCCTGAAGACTCCGTCGGCAGTCGTGGCCACTGCATGACATCTGGTGGCCACAAGGCAGCATGGCCAGAAAGTGGCACTACCGTGCAGCGTGTGCACCCACTAAAACCACAGCGTATCAGCTCTCCTCCAAACATGCCAAAACACCTGCTCTGGGGTGTTTGCTGCAGTTGTACATCGTAACAACCCAGCTTTGACAACTGTTAATGTGTAGCACACTAGGATACATATTTTCCTTGGAGTTCTGATGTTTCCTGCCACGAGTGCTCCTCCCCTGCACTCCTACAGCTGTAGGACATCGAAATGGGGATTTGCAGAAAGAATTGTGGGAGATGTTCTTTGAAATGCAGAGGTGAAATTCACTGTGAACTCGCACCTACTGAGTTATAAAAAACAATCCAGAATGATGCTTTAGTATGTAAGTGTCGCTGGTGGCAACAGCTCATCCTCGTCCTCCTGTGATTGTGGTATAAAATCACAGAATTACAGAATATGAAGGGCTGGAAGGGACTTTAAGTATTATCCAATCCCAATCTGCCCTGCCTGCCGTGGGCAAGGACACCTCCCACTGGACCAGGTTGTTCAAGGCCTTATCCCACCCAGCTTTGAAAAGTGCCAAGCAGGGCATCCACAATCCCCCCAGGCAACCTATTCTAGTGCCTCACTACCCTCACAGTAAAGACTTTCTTCCTAATACCTTATCTAAATTTCCCATMTTTTAGTTTGTACCCATTCCTCCTTGTCCAGTCACTACCGTTCCTGATGCAGAGTGCCTTTCTGGCTTCCCAGTAGGTGCCTTCAGACAGTGGAAGATTTCCACGAGATCTCCACACAACCTTCCCTTCTCTGGCTGAACAGACCCAACTTTCTCAGCCAGTCTTTGTAGGGGAGATCCTCCTTTGTGGCCTCCTCTGGACGTGCTCTATTAGGGTGGATAAGACCTACTACATAAAAAATCATAGAATATTCTAAGTTGGAAGGGACCCATCGAGTCCAACTCCTAGCCCTGCACAGACACCCCTTAAGCCACACCACATGCTTGASAGTATTGTCCAAACGCTTCTTGAACTCTGTGAGGTTTTGGTACACTGACCACTTCCCTGGGAAAGTAGGAAACCGAACAATCGGTTAAGAGAAAATAGAGAGATTAAGCGCTCAAAACCCTCAAAAGCGCGGCCTATSGGCTGAGCGACCCCGGCGATGCGTCGGGAGCGGGCCCATGAGCTAGTCCAGCACAGGTGCAGCCGGGCGATTCTCCGCCTCCTCTGCAGCCCCACCCGCGCTCCCGGGGCGGCTCGGCCCGACTCCAGGACCAGCGGCGCGTTCCCCTCCCGGATCCCGCCCTTCCCACCGGGCCCCGCCCCGTCGCTTCCGGCTTCCGGCGCCGGCGGGGGCGGGCGCGCGGG